AGCGGGGGAGCGGGCCACCATCGCGGGCGGCGGCGGCGGCTGCTGCCGCAGGCGAGCTGGGGAGAGGCGCTGGTAGACGACGAGGAGGAGGAGGAGGAGAAGGAGCTGCCGCCCGTGGAAAAGTTTGCAAAACTCCCGCCGGCCCTGTGCATGAGGTCTCCTCGCATCAATCCATCCGCGCCGCTTCCGAGGCCCTCCAGACCCCGGGAGCTGAAACCGGCGCGGCCGCGGTACGAAGCTGGGGCCCGGGGCCGTCCCGTGCCCCCCACCAGCTGCTCCCGGCTCGGCGGCGAAGGCGCCCGGAGAGGTGGGGAGGGGATCAGTGCAAACGGGGGCTCGGAGGAGAACAGCCCCGCAGTGCGCTGGAGGACTTGCAGGCTGCGCCGGGAGAGCTCATGGTGCTGTCCTGCTCCTCATGCAGTTCCGTCTCTCTTTTTCCCTTTTTTTTTTTTTCTTTCTTTTTTTTCACAAAATAAATGCCCAGCTGCTGCCGCTGCTGCTGCCTTCTCAGGAGCTTTTAACTCTCCGCTCGCAGCATCTCTGCACATGCCAGCCGCTCCGCTCCCATTCACAGTCCCAGCTCCGCTTTGCTCCCTCTCGGTACCGGTTGCGCTTTCGGGTGGCGGGGAGAAGAAATGTCTCTCCCCGCTAGCAAGAAGATAGTACGGGGAAAGGAGAAGAGGCAGCCTTCGGGGTCTCTTTTCTCTCTGGGCGACTGATGCTGCTTCTGTTGTCAACAAGCCCTGCAAGCTGCTCTGCGGATCCGTCTGTGGATCTTTTTTTCTCTGCAAGGCTTTAAATACAAAAGTGCCCTCCGAGCAGCAGCAACGTGCTCTGATTAGGCCTCATTATGCATGCATGGAAAAGCAAACAAACAAAAAAAATTAGCAACGCTTCTTCTTTTACACATCCCCCCAGCCTGCGCTCTCTCGCTCTCTTTCTCCTTTTCTCCACTTTTTTCTCCCTTCGCTCGGCCCCCTTTCCCTGCTTCGCCACTTGCCATTGGTCCGGCCTGTTGTTGAAACTTTTTTTTTTTTTTTTTTTTTTTTTTTTTTTTTTTCTCTCTCTCTCTCTCTCCCCTCCTCTCTTTACGATCTGCTGGAGGGAGGGAAGGAGAGAGGGGGGCTGGAGGGCAGCTCACATTCAAAGCTTGAAAGGAAAGGCTTAAGGAGAGTGACAGCCCCCCGAGGAGCCCCTCCTCCCGTTAAGGCGGCGCGGCGGCGGCGGGGCGGCTGGTCGCTGCGGGGCTGGACGGGCTCCCCCGCCACCAGCCTGCCGCCCGGCCGCCGCGGGAACGGGGCGGGCGGCGTGGAGCTGCGGGTTGCTTTTTGGAGGGTGTTGCTCTTAAACTGCTCCTTACAGCAAGGGGGAACAAAAAAACCCCCCAAAAAACCAAACCCCAAAGATCTCTAGCCTGAGTGATGGGTGTACCCAAACTTCCCGCTGATTCGAGTAAGGGCAGGGGGGAATCAAGATCAAAATGGGACCGACCTTGTTCTTACTGAAATCTATAAGAGGGCTCCGGGTTTCGGTATCTTAGTGCACTGAAGGAGAGCAAAGCTAACTCTTTTAGTGGTGTGCTGCAACGATGTAAGTACTGCTTAGTATTGCAACTTTCTTTCCTCTTAGCCCATGCCCCACCGATATCAAACTCATTCTACTCGGCTTCTCGCCTGAGGTTTTTGTGTACAGGTTTAAGACGCAGACCTGTGAGGGTGGCTGCTGACAGAAATACAGTAGATCTCAGTAAAGTTCTTTGATACTTTATGAGGATCTGCCAACTATTAAAAAGTTGTTTAAAACCTGTTAGTTAAGAAGATGAAATGTATTTTCGTTGAAAGCAAAATACCTTGCTGACGTCTTGCCTTCCTGTTACACTCTCCGTTTGCTTTGCTTTGTTTATGAGGAAATAGACACATAAATATAAGGCACGAGGAGAGAAATACAACAAAATAAGTAGTGGTGCATTTACCCATTGCCTTTCGGTTCAGTGCTACCTTAATTCCAGAGCAACATCATCTCCAACCACAAGGGGCATCGGTATCTGCTGCCTGTCAAAACTGGCGTTTTTTTTTTCATCCTGAGACTATCAACTCCATCTGTCACAAAAATTAGGAGTAAATCTATTTTCCAGAAACTCGGGGATCTTGGGATCCTGTGCAGTGCGGACTGATGTCTGCCTGAAAATGCGTGGAAGCTGGAACGGCAGCGTGGTGTGGCTGGGAGACAGCATGATTGATGTGTTGAGAAGCATTCGTAAGGATTTGCTCCATTGTCGTCAGTTTTACAGGCTGCTTGTGTTTCTGCTTCAGCACAGTTTTGCCTCTTCTGGTGCAAAAATTGTGTTTGCTTGTGTTTTTAAAGACATGAAAACTGCATTCAGAAACCCTGCTTTCATCCACCTACGTTAGAGCCGTTTCTTTTAATACTGGTTTAATGGTGTTATTAAAAATGCCAGCTGCTGCTCAGGCAGGGTGCAGCACACGCACGTTGCTATCTACATGGCTCATTCATGCATTGCTTCTCAGCCCTATTCAGTGACGATAACACTGTTACTGGTGGAAGTCAGCTCGTTTGGGGTGGGTAAGTTGGAGACACCGTTGTACAAAGTGCTGACGCGCTGCCCGATTGCTAGGAAACCGGTACACCATGGTGCAGCTATGGAGAAGGGGGCCTGGATGCTGGGATGTTTCAGACATAGGGAGTCTGAGAGAGGGGATTGCAGTGGGGCAGGTTTGCGTGGGACAGGGGCCCGCTGAGCTTCCCCAGCACGGGCTGGCTCTCTGTCCCAGGGGGGCTGCCTTTTGTGGACAGCTGGGGGATGAGCTCTGCTCCCTCTCAGCTCCTGCCTTCATCTGCAAAACTCATCCAGCTCGGCTGTCCTGCAGAAAAAAGCAGGACGTCTGCTTTGTGAAGAATGGAAGCAGCTGAACTTCGGGCCTCCCAGGAGGGGGAGTAGAGGAGCCTTCGCTGCTTGCTGGCCTTCCATCCCGGCATGGCTGGGAAGAGGCTGCTGTGATGCTGCCTGAGCAGGATGAATATCAGCGCGTGGTCCCACTAGTGCTGACCGGCTTCCCTGGCTGGGGACAGTGTTCATTTTGCCTACTGGTCTGAAAGGCAGAGCATGACACGAAGCATTGCATCATTCATAAGCAGAGATTTTCACATACACCTTTCCGTTGAAGAAATGCAAGTCTCATACAGTCATAATAATAATAATGGAAATATTGACATTGAAGTTTGGGATTTGGAATTATCTTTTGTATCATACAAGTGACCAAAATCATAACAGAAAATCATAGAATCATAGAATAGTTTGCATTGCAAGGGGCCTTTAAAGGTCATCCTGCCCAACCACCCAGCAATGAGCAGGGACATCTTCAACTAGATCAGGTTGCTCAGAGCCCTGAACAAACCGACCTTGAATGTTTCCAGGGATGGATCTCTGGGCAACCTGTTCCAGTGTTTCACCACCCTCATCATAAACATTTTCTTTGTTATACCTAGTCTTAATCTTTCCTTTTTTAGTTTAAAGCCATTACCCCTTGCCGTATTGCAATAGGCTCTGCTAAAAAGTTTGTCCTCATCTTTCTTATAAGCCCCCTTTAAGTACTGAAAGGCTGCAATAAGGCCTCCCAGGAGCCTTCTCTTCTCCAGGCAGAACACCACCAACTCTCTCAGCCTGTCTTCATAGGAGAGGTGCTCCAGCACCCTGATCATTTTTGTGGCCCTTGTCTGGACCTGCTCCAACAAATCCATGTTTTCCTGTGCTGAGGGCTCCAGAGCTGGACACAGTACTCTGGATAAGGACTCACCAGAGAGAAGTAGAGAGGCAGAATCACCTCCCTTGACTGGCTGATCACACTTCTTTTGTTGCAGCCCAGGGCAGAGTTGGCCTGGGCTGCAAGCACACGTTGCCAGCTTATGTCCAGTTTTTCATCCACCAGTACCCCCAAGTCCTTCTCGGCAGGGCTGCTCTCAATCCTTTCATCCCCTGGCCTGTATTGATACCAGGGGTTACCCCAAGCCAGGTGCAGGACCTTGCACTTGGCCTTGTTGAACCTCATGAGTTTCTCATGGGCCCACTCCTTGAGCCTGTCCAGGTCCCTCTAGATGGCATCCTGTCCCTCAGGCATGCCAACCACACCCCTCACCTTGGTGGTGTCTGCAAATTTGCTGAGGGTGTACTTGATCCCACTGTCTATGTCATTGATGAAGATATGGAGCAGTACCGGTCCCCGTACAGGCTCCTAACAGACAGAGATTGTGGGGAGAGAGGTTGCCAGTGAAGACTGAGGCAAAAAAATTGTTGAGAACCTCAGCCTTCTCCTTGTCTGTTGTTACCAGTTTGCCAGTCTTGCTCACTGGGGGAGTATGCTTTCTTTGACCTTCCTTTTCTGGCTGACATACCTGTAGAGGCCCTTCTTACTATTCTTTGTATCCCTTGCCAACATCAGCTGTAGCTGTGCCTTGGCCTTCCTGACCCCATCCCTACACAAGTGGGCAACATCCCTGTAACTCCTCCCTGTCCCTGATTCCAATGCCTGCGCATTTCCTTCTTGCCCTTTATTTTGACCAGTGGATCTCAACTCAGCCGTTCTGGTCTCTTGCCTTCCCTTCCTGATTTCTTACACCTGGGGATCAAAAGCTCTTGTGCTGTGTGAAAAGTATCCTTAAATATCTGCCAGTTCTGTTCTGCTCCTTTGTCCCTGAAGCCGGTTTGCCAGAGGGTCCTGTTGACTAATTCCTTGAAAATCTGGAAGTTTGCTTTCATAAAATTTGGGTGCTGACTTTAGTCTTTGCCTTATAAATATTCCTCAGGACGGCAAACTCCACCGGCACACGATCGCTGCA